CATTTAATGTCTTACCTATTTCTGAAAATTTAGTATTAATCTTCTGGATTTCTGTCTGTAGATTTTGTATCATTTCTCTTCATTTATTTTGTCATTTTGTTCTTGTATTGTCTTTTGAAATTGTTGTAGGGTTTTCTCTGTGTTTTCCTTGATCTGTCTCTCAATTCATTGAAGATACCCCAATATAATTCTTTTGAGTTCCTTATCAGGGATTTCCAGTGCTTCCTCAAGGATGTGTTTTGGGTCTGTATCCTGGTCCTTTGTTTCTCCTGCTTTATCTTGCTTCTTTGTGTGGACTGTGATGCTCTGTTGTCTCTGAGGTATTGTGATGTTTTTGTGTTTATGTTTAATTGGTGATTGTATGTTAGAGTGACTTGCCCACAATTTTCATTTTTTTTGTTTTGTTTGTATGTTAGCTACACAAGCAGGGTACTGTGCTCCTCTATTCGCTAGTTGACAGCACTTACACACTCGCCACTTGTCCCCTTTCCTGTTGACAGCCTCTCATATGTCCCTGCCAACCTTGGCAAACAGAGCCTATTCTTAGGTCCCTGGAATCCGAATGAGAATGTTATCACTTTAAAATCCAAAATGGTTGTCACTTGTAAAGATTCCAGATGGCTGCACACCTGGTCACTTTAAATATCCAAAATGGCCACCACTTGTAAACATTCAAAATGGCTGCACTCTCCGGACAGTGGAAAGTCAGTAGCTCAGGTCTCCCTCCTTGCTGTTTCCCTTCCTAGTCATAGGCCACCAGCGCAGTTGTCCCTGCAGCCCTTGGTGACTGTGCCTGATCTTTAGGTCAATTCTCAGGTCCCAACACCACTTGGAAATACTCAGGCTATTGGTACCGTCCAAGTAGCTGACAGTCCGCAGCACCAACTGTCTCTGTTCTAACTGTTTTCATTCAGGTTTTTCCACTAGTTGGTGCCTAATCCACTTCTGTATAGTGCCTTTTAAAGCTCAGGGTTCTAGGCTTATCTTCTGTAGCTCTGTCAATTGGTTTCTCTTTTCTTTGTTGAAGAGGGTCTATGTCATTTGTCTGCCTATTCCTCCATCTTACTGGAAGTCTGGGTTTGGTCTTTTTGGTTTAAGGCATAACATGGTACAGTCTAATAGGGAGAAATAGAAATGCATCTTACTATCATGGAAGTGAAACTATTTTTGTGTTGGTGTTGAATTGTGTATAAACACTTCTGAAATGAGTAACATGTATTTCTTAGAGTTTTTTCAAAAGGGGGTTTAGAAGGGAAACTTTTTTGATATGTAGCAGAGGCACAATATTTGTCATATAGGAAAAAATGTGGGTTTTGGAGCCAAAAATAGGCTTGGGTTTAAGAGCATGTTATTAAGTAAACTAAACTCACTACCACTGAGTTGGTTTTGACTCATAGTGACCCACATTGGGTTTCCAAGGCAGTAAATCTTTAGGGAAGTAGATTGTCCTGTCTCCCTTCTGTGGAGTGGCTGCCTCATAGTGACCCCTCTTTGGGTTTCTGAGGTGGTATCTCTACAGAAGTAGATTGCCCGGTCTTCCTAGGAGTGGCTGGTGGGTTTGAACAACCAGCCTTCTGGTTAGCAGTCAGATGCCTTAGGCACTACGCCACCAGAGCTCCTGGAGGGTGTTATAGAGTCTCTTATAACCTCGGCTTTCCCATTGATAAAATGGGAATGATAATACCTTACAAAGTAATTGTGAGGATTAAATCAATCAGCACATACCAGGTACCATGTGAAGTGCCTTACCTAGAGGAAACAGTTGTAGCTGGCCTTATTATTGGAGTACTTAGGTTAATGTTTTTACTTTTTTCTTTCCCCTAATAAATGTTTGTGATTTCTATCAAAATGTTTTGTTTTAAAAATACCAAATTCATAAGACTCTATCACATGAGTCCAGAAAACTTCATTTTAAAATTTCTGTAAATTCTTGGTGTTTGTTTTGATGTGTTTTTTTTGGTAAAGGCATAATAGAAAAGTGTGCTATTTATGTTCTCATAGCAAGTTTTCATTACATAATATGTTCAGTGAAATGTATCTTTTTTTGAGCAAGGTCTTAATGGTAAAATGTCGATACGTGTGTAAAAAGATAATTTTTAAAAATCAATATCCAGATATAAAATTCTTCTCTCCCTTCCTACATTTAAAACTTGCAAATTATTTATTTCATACACACACACACACACGGACACATACATACATTTATACTATATATTGAACATATGTATACAACTATGACATACATATATATATATACAACTGAGACTGATAACTTCCTCTTTGTTGATTTTATAGAGTTATAACTCTTAGCTTCAATTACTCTCTGGTCAGATGTAGTTTTGGGAACATTCAGAAATTAACCTGGTCCTGTGTAGAGAGCTTACTAAGTGAATCGGGTTGTTAGGTGCTGTCGAGACTGTTCTGACTTACCACGACTTACCACGACCCTAGGTACAACAGAACAAAAGTGCCTTGTCCTCTGCCATCCTTACTGATTGTTCCTATGCTGGAGCCCATTGTTGCAGCCACTGTGTCAGTCCATCTTATTGAGGGTCTTCCTCTTTTTCGCTGACCCTCTACTTTTCTAAGCATGATGTCCTTCTCCAAGGACGTGATGATAGCATGTTCCTGAATAATGTCCCTCATGATAACATGTCCAAAATACATGAGATGAAGTCTTGCCGTTCTTGGTTCTAAGGAGCATTCTGGCTGTATGTCTTCTAAGATATTGTTGTTGTTTGCCGTTGAGTCGGCCCCGACTCGTAGAGACCCCTCCTTGGGTTTCCAAGGCAGTATCACTACGGAAGTAGGATTGCCCAACCTTCCTTCCAAGGAGTGGCTGGTCTTCTAAGATAGATTTGTTTATTCTAGCAATTCATGGTATATTTAACATGCTTCACCAACACCATAATTAAAATGCATCAATTCTTTGGTCTTCCTTATCCATTGTCCAGCTTTTACATGCATATGAGGTGATTAAAAGAAAATACCATGGCTTTGGTCAGGCACACCTTAGTCCTCAAAATGACATCTTTGTTTTTAATACTTTAAAGAGGACTTTGCTGCTGATTTTCCAGTGTAATATGTTGTTTGATTTCTTGACTGCTGCTTCCATGGGCATTGATTAAAATGAAATCCTTGACAACTTCAACATTTTCTCCATTTATCATGATGTTGCTTACTGGTCCAGTTGTGAGGATTATTGTTTTCTTTATGTTGAGGTGTAATCTGTACTGAAGTAGTCTTCCTTCCCAGTCTGTCTTAGTCTGGAAGCTCCACTTAGGTGACCCTGCTGGTATTTGAAATACCAGTGGCATAGTTTCCAGCATCACAGCAACCACCATAAGCCACCGCAGTACTATAAACTGACGGAGTAGTTGAAAATTGGGTACCATATTTTTAAAAGGTGGATAACTACCTTATTCAAAATAAAATTAAATTTATTTACATCTAGTCACATATGTAGTGTTTATATAGTATTTTTATGTAGTAGGAAGATTAAATACAAGATTAGAACAGAGATTGCAGATAGGTACTACCTACCCTCATACTGCACTATTGACATCCACCTCTCAGTAACAAAGTTACTATAAAATTCCCTCCTCATTTTCTAAAACCATAGTTTTATATAATAAGGCAGGTTATTCCACAGTGACTTTTGGTAAAGCTACTGAGAAAAAAAAAAATTACTTAATTCAGAGATGATGAATAGATGGAAAATATTCTAATTAATGAAGTTATATGATGATTCTGATTGACTAAGAGAGCTTTGCAAACATTCTGAGGCTACATCTCCCTTTTTCCTACCCAATTAGAAGTAGGCTCAGAATGTCACACAGCTCTGTCAGTTAAGATAACTACTGCTAAAAATGTTGTCTTTCCAGTTTATGTATGTATATTTTTAAAAGAACATTAAGGTTATACTATACACATGCCATTTTGTAACCTGTTGCTTAATATACTAGGCACAGTTACTTATATCATTACTGTTTCCTTTATAACTTGATTTTTAATGGCTGTATAATATTCCTGCCTGAATCTACCATGAAATTTAACCATTTGCCTATTGTTGAATATTTATTTTTCTTCAACTTTTCTTTATTGTAAATTAAAAAACTGAAAAATCCTATAACTATGAGACCAGAAGAACTAGATGGTGCCCAGCTACCACTGCCATCCACTTAGAAGGAATGTAGGAGATCCTGCATAGAGAGGGAGAACAATGTGGAACAAAACTCAAAATCATTTGGAG